CCCCATCCTCTCACACCCCATCCTTCCGCCACCATCCTTCCACACTCCATCCTCCCACATCCCATCCTTCTGCACCCTATCCTTTCACACCCCATCTTCCACACTCCACCCTCCCGCACCCCATCCTTCCGCACACCAGGCCCCACCCACCCAGCCCCTCCCCATGTGAACCCGCTTAGCCACATCATGCCCACCAGCACCGGCCCCGCCCAGCTGCCTCTGCCTAGCCAAGCTGGACACACCTCATCTGACCCTACACAGTCATCCTTATGCCCACCTACCAACCCGTCCATGCCCAGCACTGGCCCAGTCATGTCCTGTCCAGCTACACTGGCCAGACCCCCTCTGACCCTACCCACTCATCCCTATGCCCTCCTACCCCTCCATACCCACCAGCACTGGCCCAGCCATACTGTTCATGCTTAGCCACACTCGTCCAGCAGCAGCTAGTAAGTGTCCAGCATCCCCACCCCAGTGACAGCTGACAACAAGGTGCCCAGCCTGCACGCCTCGCTGCTCCTAACAAAGGGGACCCACCAAGCCTGCACAGGGCAGAGACCAGGACTTCCCTCTAGACTGACCATGGATGGACTGGGGGGGGCCTGCTACCATCAAGATGGGGGGTGAGATCCACAGATGTGGGGGACAGAGAGGGCGAGACAGGTAGAGATGCGCAACACAGCGAGACGCAGAGCTGAGGCGGCACTGACCGGTCACTGAGGGGAAGTAGATGCCGACCAGAAGGGTGAAGTGCGTCATGATGTCCGTCAGCACGTAGGGCAGGCTGCTGGCCTTGGCCTCGACGGACACAGGGACCGAGGGCGTGCCCTTGTTCTCCACAAACGAGCCTTTGTCCAGGTATGTACTCCACAGATTATCTGTTAGGGACACAGGTCACAGCAACCTTCCCGGGGGTCAGCCTGCCCCTGTCTCCTGTGTCGTCTGGGGTCACAGCTGACCATACGGGCCCCTGCAGCAAGGGCCCATCAGCCTGCCTCCTCACAGGACTTCTCAGGTCAGAGAGATCAACACAGCTTCCCCACAGCTCCACATCGACCACAGACACCCAGTGAGCTCACCCACCCCCAGGGGTCCATCATGGGCCCCAAAGACCCCTGATGAACCCCACACGAACCTTCCACAGCTCCATGCTCCTCCCTCAATTCCCGGATATAACTATGAAAGGGGCTTCTGTCAAAACCCAGGCTCCCCAGGGCCTCAGTGTGCAAGGACCACTGGGCACTGTGATGGTCAGACCACTCCCAAAACCCCAAGGATACTGCTCTCTGCTGGAGGCCTCACTCTTGTGAGCCACGCCCCCATAAGGACATGTCCTCCCTGAGGGGTCCCCTCCCATCAGACTTGACCTAGAGGACAGCCCCCACCATAGAGCCACGCCCCCACCATAGAGCCACGCCCTCCCTATTAGGCCCTGCCCTCCCTGTGATTCCCCCGCCTTCCCTGCGAGGCCCCGCCCTCCCTAGAGCCACGCCCCCCCTGGGAGGCCCCACCCTTTATAGAGCCACGCCCTCCCTAAGAGGCCCTGTCCCCATAGAGCCACGCCTTCCTGTGAAGGCTCCACCCTCTATAGAGCCACACCCTCACTAAGAGGCCCTGCCCTCCCTGTGATTCCCCACCCTCCATAGAGCCACGCCCTCTGGGGAGGCCCCGCCCTCCATAGAGCCCCGCCCTCCCTAAGTGGCCCTGCCCCACAGAGCCACGCCCTCCCTAAGTGGCCCTGCCCCACAGAGCCACGCCCTCTCCCAGAGGACACACCCTTCCTAAGGGGTCCCGCCCTCTCAATGATGCTCCGCCCCCTCATTATGCTCCACTCTCCCCTGAGACCCCACCCTCTAGCAGCTCACCCAGCACAACTCCACTGGCCACTCCAGGAATGCCCTGGATGACGGTCAAGTTGTTCTGGAGGAAATACTCATCGCAGGCGGCATCGGCTGCTGAGCCATTGCAGAAGAGACCCCACAGGGCCGTGGGTGTCGAGCCATTGGGGCCAGCACGCACCTTGGCACAGACCTCAAAACTGCGCCAGGACAGCGTCCGGTTCCCGAGCAGGCAGACCCTGTGGAAGCCAAGGAGGCCTGTCCCACCGCCTGTCCATGGGCTGCCACTCGGGAGCACACTGGACACCACGGCTCACTGACACCCCACCATCTCGAACTCTGTCTTCCACAGTCACCACTGAGGGAACTGCCCTGATCACCAATGGTCTCCAACCTTGAACTCTGCCTGCCACAGCTGCCACTCTGGGGCCACTCACCTCACCTTAGTACTGCCCACCCTGAGCCCCACAACCTCATCTGCTCTCACCTGGGTTCTCACCTGTGCTCATCTGACCTAGGACCTGCTCTCCACCTGGGTTCTCACCTGTGCTCACCTGATCTAGGATCTGCTCTCACCTCACCTAGGACCTACTCTCATGTCACCTGGCACCTGTTCTCACCTGACCTAGGACCTGCTCTCACCTGGGTTCTCACCTGTGCTCATCTGACCTAGGACCTGCTCTCCACCTGGGTTCTCACCCGTGCTCACCTGATCTAGGATCTGCTCTCACCTCACCTAGGACCTACTCTCATGTCACCTGGCACCTGTTCTCACCTGACCTAGGACCTGTTCTCCACCTGGGTTCTCACCTGTGCTCACCTGATCTAGGACCTGCTCTCACCTGATCTAGGACCTGCTCTCACTTCACCTAGGACCTGCTCTCACCTGGGTCCACACCTGCTCCCCTGACCTGGCTCCTGCTTTCAACTAATCTAGCATCTGCTCTCACCTGAGTCCCAGGTAGACGATGATACCCTGCTCCCCACATGTGCACCCTCCAGCAGACACATTCCCTGCAGAGCCCCAGCAAAGCTCCTGGGGCCGGGCACTCACGGGATGTCGGGTGGGTCAAAGGCAGTCTTGATGACCCCAGCGTAGATGGCCAGGATGGACAGCACCACGCAGGCGAGGAAGACCAGGGCCAATTTGTTGACATACTTAACACCCACGAAGACCACAGTGGCCATGAGGACGAGTGTGCACGTGCCATACACACGCATGTTGTGCAGCATGGCGGCCGCCTCCCCGCCCGCAGCCTCTGCCTGGAACACGACCGCACCCGGCGATATGTAGGTCTAGGGGTGTAGGAGGCAGTGAGGGGCCACTCTCGATGTCCACCAAAAGCCCAGGGGACTGAGAGGCCGTTCCTCGATGTCCACTGAGGGCCCTGGGGACTGAGGGGCCACTCCCCAAGGTCCACTGATGTTCACTGAGGGCCCTGGGGACTGAGGGGCCACTCCCCAAGGTCCACTGATGTTCACTGAGGGTCCTGGGAACGGAGGGGCCATTCTCCAATGTCCACTGATGCCCACCGAGGGTCCTGGGAATGGAGGGGCCACTCCCTGATGCCCACTAAGAGGGCTGTAAGAGGCCATTCCTGATGTCCACTGAGAACCAAGGGGCCACTCCTGAGGGCCCTAGGGATTGTGAAGATCCACTCTCTGATGTCCACTGAGGGCCCTGGGGACTGAGGGGCCATTCCCCAGTGTCCACTGAGGGCGCTGTGAGGACCCACTCCTGATGTCCACTGAGGACCCTGGGGACTGAGGGGTCATTCCCCGATGTCCTCTGAGGGCCCTGGGGATTGAGGGACCACTCCCTGATGTCCACTGAGGTCCCTAGGGACTAAGAGGCCACTCCCGAGGGCCCTGGGGATTGTGAAGGCCCACTTCCTGAAATCCACTGAGGGCCCTAGGGGACTGAGGGATCATTCCTAATGTCCACTGAGGGGGCTCTAAGGGGAGGGGGCAGTGAGGGGCCACTCCTGATGTCCACTAAAGGCCCTGGGGAACTGTGAGGGGTCATTCCTGATGGCCACTGAGGGCCCTGGGGAACTGTGAAGACCCACTCTTAATGTCCACTGAGGGCTTTGGAGTTCCAAGGGGCCACTCCTGATGTCCACTGAAGGGGCTATGAGGGGCCAATCTCTGATGTTCTCTCAGGGCCCTCAGAAGGCTGTGATGCCCAAATGTCCTCTGAGAATCCCAGGAAGAATGTGAGTGGCCACCCCCACTGTCCACTGAGGGCTGGTGGGGCTGTGAAGGCCCAATCTTGATGACCACCGAGGGTCCTGAAGGATTGTAAAGGGTCACTCCCCAGTGTACTCTCTCTGGCTGTCCACTGAGGACACTGAGCAGCTGTCCATGCCAGCAATACCGCCAGGGATAGGTCAGACCGTCAAAGCAAAGGTCAGGTGGTGACCAGCTCTGAGCACCACTTGGCCATGAAGATAGAGGGCTCTGACTGCACATCTTGCACAGACCCCAGGAGGTAATGGGGTCAAAGCAGAAACACCAGCACCCCAGTGAACCCCAAAGATGGACAGCACCCTGTCAGGGGAAAACTCTACAAGAGAGTGTCAGTAAGGCACAGTTATGGGGGGCCTTCTCAAAACCCTTGCAGGTACCGCGTCAGCAGGCTGGGACTCCAGTCTGAGAGGGGCATGTACCCCAAACTTACCAGAAAAATCTCAATGGTCCCCAAAATGTACATGGCTCCCGCAAAGGTGGTGCCCAGGTAGAAGCAGAGCCCAACAGCCCCTCCAAACTCAGGCCCCAGTGACCGTGAAATCATGTAGTAAGAGCCACCAGCTGTGAGGAGAGAGGAAACACATCAGGGACGGGCAGTGTGCACACTGGGACCTTACAGGACAGGGCACCTTCTCCCTGTGAGGGACAGGCAGTGTCCACGCTGGAGACCAAGTGCCCCCATGCAGGATGATCTCCACACCCCAGAAAGGCCACTCCCCACTTCAAGTCCCATCAGCCATGGAATCACTCAGAGGCTGTGGAAGCTGTAACAGCCTACTCTTGGTTCAGGTGGCCAGGACCGCCTTTACTGGTCTGGTACTGGCCCTTACCTGGACTCCTGCGCCAGAACTACCTTTCCAGGGAGGCATTCCCCAGAACTCCCCCCTAGGAGACCCTCCAGCTAGGGGTCACTCTTCCCCAGGACTTTGTCCCCCAAGGGGCTGCCCTTACCTGGGACCACCCCATTGGTGGCAATGGCACTCATAGAGATGGCGGTCAGCATGGTCTGTGAGAAGACAGACAGGGGTCAGGAGCCAAGGCTGATGCTCTGAGAGGGCAGCCAACACACTGGAGGCTGCTGCCCTCCTCCAGGCTACAGCAGACTGGTCACCGAAGAGCAGGCCTGAGGGGCCAGCTGCCATTTCCACATGACATGAACACTGCACCAGCAGGCCACACCACTAGGGGCCACACTGCCGCACCACCACGGACCCGGGACCCACCCAGCTCCAGGGGAACTTGAAGTATTGTCCGCCAGATCTTAACCTAGCCAGGACCAGGGTGACCAAAGTCCTGACCCCCATACCCCAGCCCACCCAGGACCAGGGGGACCTGAAGTCCTGCCCCCCAGACCCTGGCCCACCCAACTCCAGGGGGATCAAAGTGCTACCTCCCCCAGACCCCAGTTCACAAGGCTCCTGGGGGACCATAGTCCATCCCAAGACCCAGGCCCGTAAGGCTCCAGGGAGACCCGAAGTCCTGCCCCCCCAGACCCCGGCCCGCCCAGCTCACCATGCATGACTAAGCCCTAACCCAGGCTCCATCAGTAACTGTCCTTGGTCACAAGCAGTGCCAGGGCCCTCGTGGGCGTGGCCTCACCACACCTGGGCGTGGACCCAGGTCCTGCCCACTTGCGGCCCCCCACTCACACAGGTGCAGCACAGAGACACGATGAGTAGAGACTCCAGCACCCCGGCCACGCCCACGATCCAGGTGAGCCGGAGGAAGAGGATGACGCCCAGGATGTTCTGCAGGCAGGGCAGGTACACGCCGATGAAGGTGCCCATGTGTGGGGACTGCAACAGACGGGCATCGCCGGCTCAGGGGCGCGGTGGGGCATAGGAGTGGGCTCGGGTACGGTGGGGTGGGGGC